TCTTTTTTTCCTTGCTTTTGGTTTTTTTTGGGGGGGGGGGGGTTTCTGTTCTGCATGTGTATTCCTCCCTCTAGTGGTCGATTTGGTATTACATTGGTTTGTGTTCGACATATCTCCCTGAAGATTTAAACTGCAGGTTTTTATGTTGGACATAAACTGATGTAGTATTAAATTGACCCCTAGAGGGAGCAAAACATGTGCTGAACAGAAGCAACCCCCCGAAGAAACAGGAACACACAAACAGGGGAAATGAGAATACAGAGACGCCCAGAATGAATGCTGCTTCCCTGATTGCTCATTCATTGTCTGCAAAATTTAATTTTAAGTTTTACTGTTTATTGTGATTTTATTGCTGCGTGCATGATGGGATTTATATTTTATAAGGTGCCTATGAGCCAAACAGCAGGATAGAAGTATTTTAACAAATAAAAATCAATAAATAACAATAAAAACAATAAATAACAAAATAACAAAAATCAATAAATAACAAACAATAAATAACAATTGAAGTCCATTGACTTCAATGGACTTAGGAATGTATAACTTTGCTTAGGATGGTACTGGAAGAATGCCACAGATGTAGGGAAGCCTGAAGATCACAAATCCTCCGATTGGTGTTCACTGGAATGAATTTCAGAGTCACTTTTCTTACATTCATGTACTATCAAGACACAAAAATGGAAATATACAATAAAACTTGCTAAAATAATAAAATTATCCCAGTACATCCAATAGCAGGAGAATGGTTTTCTCGGTTTGAGATATATACAACATGTTTTCTGTGCTCTTCGGTAAAAATTGATCACACTATCTAGCTGGCCACTGTGTATTCTAGACTGGATTATATGTTTGTCTCTAACTCCACTCTTCCACTCATCACTTCATCGGAGATCGGTAGCATTAGATGGTGAGACCATGCACCAGTCAGTTGTACCCTGAAACTGGGGACGAGTAAAAAACCACAACGCAAATGGATTTTTGATAAGAATTTGTTATTAGATAATTTAGCAAGACAAGAACTGCAAAGAGAAATCCAAGAATACTTTAAATTCAATCAAAATTGGGGGGTGTCCAGTTTCTCGATTTGGGAAGCCTCAAAAGCAGTAGTGAGGGGGAAATCAATAGCACTTTCAGCGTCATATAAAAAAGAAAGGGGGGAAAAGAAATCAGAACTTTTGGCTAACATTGGGAAGCTAGAAATCAAACACAAACAAACGTGTAGTGGTAGAGTGTATAAAAGACTCCTAAATTTGAGAAAGCAATTGGAGCTCATGGAAGTGTCAGCTGAGACCTGGTTTCACATGCTAAACAAACACAAAAAGTTAAGCAAAGGCCCGAAAAATCTCCGTTCTCTTTCTTGGAGATTGAAAAAGCAAAGGGATGAGAGATGGATACACAGTATAAGAGACCCGAAGGGAGCACTGCATTCAACTTCGGAGACAATCATACAAGTAATGGAAAACTTTTATTCATCACTCTATACCTCTACTAAGCCTTCAAAAGAAAGTATTGACAGCTTCTGGAAAAGTCAACCTCCATTAAAGCCACTCACAGAGGACCATCAACAAATGCTTGATGCACCAATGACAGCAGAAGAAATCGACCTGGCAATTAGCAACCTTAAAACTAACAAAGCCCCAGGCCCCGACGGTTTCCAATCCGAATATTATAAAATCTTTGCAACAAGTTTAACCAAACCGTTGTTAACAGTCTTTAATCAGATCATGACAGAAGGCCAGCTACCGGAAACCTGGAAGGCAGCAAATGTGATCTTGCTCCCAAAAAAAGACAAGGACACCACCGATCCCAAGGCATATCGCCCGATCTCCTTACTTAGGCCAGCTACCGGAAACCTGGAAGGCAGCAAATGTGATCTTGCTCCCAAAAAAAGACAAGGACACCACCGATCCCAAGGCATATCGCCCGATCTCCTTACTCAATACGGACTATAAAATCTTTACGTCCATCCTTGCCAACAGACT